GCGGTGCTGTGCCCCCTGCTCTGGGTGACCCTGCTTGGGCAGGGGGCTGGGCTGGGGGACCCTCAGAGGTCCCTGCCAACCCCACCGTGCTGGGATTCTGGGATGCTGTGGTTCTGTGTTAGGCAGCCAGACAAAAGGCAGCGACGTGAGGCTTTCCCAAGGCGATCAGCCTGGTAATTTGATTTCCCATCAGCAAAAATAAATCAGAGTTTCAAGAGCTCTTATGTGAGAAACCAACCCGAAACCACAAGTCACCCAGGTCAGCCATGAGTCAGAGCTGTTTGCTTTGCCAACAGCTCCTTCTCCCCGACCTGAGGCGATGCTGAAAGCCGGTGGCAAGGCCGGGCAGCAGACGGCTGAGGGGCAGGAGAAATGAAAACAGAGCGGAGGGCAGGGACGTTTCCCGTGGCACGCCACCTCGAGCCGTCCCCCCACGCGGCGTGTGGGGCTGCAGGCAGGACGGAGGGCTCCGGGCTGGTCTCGACGCGATGGATCACGGGGTAGGAACCTCCCTGAGATGTGCTCCAAAAAACTGAACAGTGTGCAAGGGTGTGGGTAGGACCTCGGAGCAGCCAGGAACCTTCTTCTGGGTCCTCATCGAGTTTCTGCTTGGATTTATGGACCCTCAGCATCTTGGTTGCATCCTGGCCAGCCTCGTGCCCACCCTTGCAGAGCAGCGAGTGGTCTCCTGGGTCTGGGGTTCACGGAAGGGATTTGCCCTGCGGTTCGGGGAAGGGATCGAGGCTGAAGAGGGGAGACCCTGCTTATTAGGAATGAAAGAATTGATTGAAAATACAGCTGGAAATGAAAATACCTAACAGTGGCAGATCTGTAGAATGGTTCGTGTTTGTTTTCACAAATTAAATCGAGCTGCTGCTCCGCCGTGCTCCGTCCTGGAAACTTTGCAAGGGGGCTGGGAGGCAAAAGCTGGGGGGTTTCCTGGATGAAGTTGACATCTGAACCTGGCGTCCTTCAGACCAAACGCTAAAAAATGCCCCTTTGTGGTAAAAAAGTGTGGTCCCAGGTGGAGAAAAGGATGTCCTGGGCTTTGAGCAAGGAGCTTACCGTGTCCTGCTGCTCAACACGTCCCCAGCACAGCTTCAGGCACTTCTGAAAGTGCCAGGCTTGAGCTGAGGTGGTGGGGACGTCCCATGCTGAGCTCACCTTTTCTGGGTTAGGAAATCAAGTCAGAAGAAGAGATGTCGCCCTGTCTGTTGGGCAGCTCCGTTCTCACCCCGTGCTGATGGGTCGTTATCTGTTGGGCAGCTCTGTTCTCACCCGGTGCCGATGGGTGCTCGGGCGTAGGTGGTTTGGTCTCAGCAGCGTTTCGTTTGCAGCAGAGGATGAAGTGTGGCTGCAGATGTGGGAGGACGTGCCAGGAAGGGTCCTTCACGTCTGACCCAAGCAGGGACCATCCTCCCGGGAGCGGAGGGTTCTTCATCCCCTTCCCCATGGCCCGGGCCATCCCCGCCAGACGGCCCCGTGGCTCTTCGGTGCTTGTGACCAAAGCTGCCTTTGCCCGCAGCCGTTAATGCTCTGGAGCGTCGTTGTGAGGTGGGAGAGCGGGACGGTGGGGACGTCGCTGCTTACCTCTGGCTCAGAGCTGGGGCGATGCAAAAGGTCCCCCATCAGTTCAGTGCCACTCTGAGATGTGAGCAGGTCTCCCTGGAGCACAGAATCCCAGAATCCCAGCATGGTGGGATCAGAAGGGACCGCTGTGGGTCACCCAGCCCAACCCCCTGCCCAAGAAGGGTCACCCAGAGCAGGGGGCACCAGTTTGTGCCCGTTGCCCCTTGTCCTGTCACTGGACACCACTGGAGAGAGTCTGGCCCTGTCCTCCTGACCCCCACAAGTGTGGGTGGTGGGAGGACCCGCACCCCTCTGCGGTGATGCCTGCAGGCAGGATGCCTCCAGCGTCCCTTGGTCCCTCGCTGACTGTGCCACGGGGATCTGCGGAGGGACTGGGCGTGGGATTGCCCACCAGTGTTGACACGGGAGTGACAGATCTTGGATGGGATGGAGGGGCAGACCCCAAAAGACCCCCCAAAGTACAGCATGGAGACCCACAGCGGGGAGCAGCGAGTGGGGACAGCCAGGCATCACCATGCTGGGCTGCAGGACCAAGGTCCTGGGGGGGGTCCTGCTCCCCTTGGTATTTTGAAGCAGAAAGGCTTACGTGGGGAGGGTGGGTGGGCAGAAACGCCCTGGAGAGGTGCAAAGCACCCAAACAATCACCCAGTGTCTGCGCCCACTGAGGTCCCGTCTCCCCTCCGCCTCCACAAAGGGTTTGTTGTTCGGAGTGGTGGGGACCGAGGTGATCTCATGGCCCCGATCGGTGGAGCGGGGAGGGGAGTCCCTTCCTTCGGAAAAACCTGGCCAAGGACAACATGAGTAACAACATGCCACAATGTGGAATTGTGATCTCCGCTGCCTTAACAAAGCATAAAGGAGTTCATTAAGGGGGCTTTACACAGTTATAAAAATAAACCTTCGGTGCACAGGAGGCTCCAAACAAAGGGGCTTTATGGAGGCCTCCTTTAAAAAGAAGAAGACGGGAGGGGGGGGAAAGAAAAGAGCAAAAAAGCAAATCCAAATCCATGGTTTTTTTGTTTATTGTAACGCATTCTGCTTTCCTCTTACTGGAAAAGATCATGTAAGTGGAAAAGGTCCTTCGCAGCGTGAACAGCGCTCTCTCCAGCCGGCCACCTCGCACACAGCCCCGGCTCCTGAACCACGTCCGCTGCGCGCCGGACCCCAAGAAAGAAAATAACACCCACCCCGACCTCCCCATCTCTGGAAGAGGGGAGGGAGGCTCGGGGATGCCGCCCTGCGCGGCCGGCCCCACGTTCGGGTGTCTGGGGGATGCTCCCCCATCTCCAGGGTGGGCAGGACGCGTTTAGCTCCCGGCAGAAGGTCACAGTCTCCTGATGGTGGTGGAGTTGGGGTGTGCATGCTGTTTTGTGGGGTGAGGAGACCCCTCTTGGGGCTGTGGGCACAGTGCTGAGTACCAAGGGTTGCTTTTGTAGGGTCTGCCACGCTCCTGGCCACTGGTAGGTCTCTTGGGACTGGCTGTGGGGTGACCTGGGGGTACCCCACTGCATGCTGGTGGACCCCCATACACACATCTGTGTCTTGTGGTGGCATGTCATGCTGGCAGAGGAGGTGGCCTACGTCCTTCCAAAAAGGCCCATGATGCTTCCTGCTGCCGTGGAGGTTGGGCTTTGTAGCTAACCACAGCTCAGGGGTCCACCTGGGACTGTTCAGGTGGGATGCAGCAATCATGGGGGTCTTGTCCCTGACAAGGACCAGTAGGTTCTATCAGGTTATGAAGGGTGTTCAGTCTCCATGGGGTCTTACAGTGTGATCCCACAGCGTGTTTTGAGCCTCTCACCCAGCCGTTGATCCTGGCGCTTCCACTGCTGGTCCTGTCTCCATGCCCTGTGCCACCACCGCTGCAGGCTGGATGTCCACAGCAGGTTTGAGCCACAGGCTCTTTGAAGGGAAGGTGTTAGAGAGGGCTCAGGTTTCATGTTTCTGTTGTTAATTGATCTCAGGCTTCCTGTGTTAATTGCTTTGGTTGTTAAGGGAGGCTACTCCTCGTTATTTGGTGCTGCCTTGCAGGGAGCCTCTGGCTTTGTCCCAAGTTAGGGGTGAGACACCTTGGTCCCAGATAAATGCCTGCATACAGGGGTCTGATGAGACCCTGGAGTACCTGAGGTGTCTGCATGGGGCTGGCAGACGTGGTGCAGCAGCCCTAAGGGAGACCCAGGGCCACCTGGTATGGCGGCTGGAGGTCAGGTGGGATAACCCGGAGTTCTGGGAACCCAAAACCCTCCCCAGGACATGGAGATTACCAAAGCTCATGCAAAGGGGCTGAGAGGATGACTCTGGCCAGTTGCTGGCTGCATCTTCAGCTCCTGTTCCTTCTGGAGATGTTAGAGACCCCGGGAAGGAGGCAGTAATGTCCCAGCTACCTTCATCATGGTCTGACCCTCACAGCAAGGGGTGACCTGAAGTTGCTGCTCTCCCACAAGTACCTCCTGCACCCCCCTGGGAAAGATTGTTTGCGTCGTGGAAACAGTTTGTACTCTCTGCTGCGCTGGAGGACGGCCGTGTTGCCACCACTGAACCACTCATCCCTGTGGAGTCATCTTGTGGGGGAAAACCCACACCTTAGGGCAACAGGTGAACCGTTTGTGCTACCTCACCACTGGTGGATGGGATGAGGAGTCATGAGGATAACCTGGACCAGGACAGATCAAGTCAGACAGTGAGGAAATTCCTAATGCTACTGCAGTGGAGTGCTGGGAGATGTGGCCAGGGAAGGTCATGGTGTCTCCACCAGCTGTCACAAGCCAAAGGGTAAGGTTGCTCTGGTAAACATAGTCTCGTTGGATGTCCAAGAGGTTTTTGGAAAAAAAAATCCTTCATCAAAGGATTTTAAGGAAAGGAGGCGGCTGTGGGGTATGAAAGAAGGTCTTTGCATAGATAGACAGCAAAGTTGTGTGGACTGTTGTGGTTGTCTTTTCTCAAAAAGAGCTGAAACGAGCAGGGATCTGGATTCACCCTTTATGAGGAAGAACTCCATAGGATGAGACTCTGCTGCTGGAAAAAGAGGTGCCTTAGGTTTGGCAGGATAGAAAGCTGCAGATGCAGAGCATCTCTCCTACGAGGAAAGGCTGAGGGAGCTGGGCTTGTTGGAGAAGAGAAGGCTGAGAGAGGACCTTCGAAGTGCCTCTAAATATCTGCAGGGTGGGTGTCAGGAGGACGGGGCCAGACTCTTTGCAGTGGTGCCCAGCGACAGGACAAGGGGCAATGGGCACAAACTGGAGCAGAGGAAGCTCCAGCTGAAGATGAGGAAGAACTTCTTCCCTCTGAGGGTGCCGGAGCCCTGGCCCAGGCTGCCCAGGGAGGTTGTGGAGTCTCCTTCTCTGGAGATATTCAAGACCCCCCTGGCTGCGGTGCTGTGCAGCCTGCTCTGGGTGACCCTGCTTGGGCAGGGGGCTGGGCTGGGGGACCCCAGAGGGCCCTGCCAGCCCCAACCATTCTGTGATGCTGTGATAATTGCCTGGGACAGGATGGGAATGTCATTGCTGTTTCTAAAAGCCCTGCAGCTCCTTCAGCCTGTTCACAGTCTTCCCTGCACAACCCGCTGGCCCATGAATGACTGTGAATTGCTTTCTCCTCGCAAGACTGGTAGCTCTAATTCATCTTTTGCCTCTTCTCTACCATCCCTTGCAGATCCTTATGCCATTGTCTCCTTCCTCCACCAAAGCCAGAAGACGGTGGTTATCAAGAACACCTTGAACCCCACCTGGGACCAGACACTCATCTTCTATGAGATAGAGATCTTTGGGGACCCCCAGAACGTATCTGATTCCCCTCCCAACATCGTGGTGGAACTATATGACCACGACACCTATGTAAGTGTGTTGGCATGAGATGGACATTCATGGTGTGCATGTGCTGGGGTAGATGGGAAAAAAATGTGGAAGCATTCC